CTTTATTTTCAAAGAACAGTTTGTTTTGTTATTGTTTGTTTGGTGTCTTATATGAAACTGCGACATTGCGCAATTTATTGGACAGACTTGTTTAAGATCACACAGCGTAATTTGGGTGGCATTTTATTTCGTATTTTTAAATCATCTTTTTATTTTTGACTATCTGTAAATTTAGTTTCCTGCTCTTAATTATGAATGCATACCTAATGGTTTTAAAAGCTCCTGAAATTAAGTGCTGCTTGACGAGCCTATACAGTATTGTGTTCATGTATGTGACGTCACTGAAGGCCGAAGGTTGAAATGTACGGCCCGCCACTGGTTCTAAGTCAACATCCCATGAATATAAAGGCCTCTTTATACTTCCGAGTACAGTACAGTACTGGAGAGCGACAAACACGGACATCGTCCGTGGCTACAACACCGACTTATATATGATTATATGATTCAGATCGATGGTCACCAATGTGGTGCCCAGGTAGCCCTCGAGGCCCACATGAGTAGCCCGTGGGCCTGTTTTAAAAATAGCTCGGCAGTGGTGTGATTTTGTGATTATCGAGTCATGTTGTAAAAGTAACAATTTGAAAATGTAAACACTGGCAGAGATTTCTAGAAATAAAGTGTCACATGTTGACATTGATGTTTCCTAATTATGAGATGTGAGATGAAATTCTATAACAGCAACATTATCCATATATCCATCCGTTTGTCTATTTTCAACACCGCTTATCCTGAACTGATTTTTTACAGCAACATTATCCATCCATCCATCCATCCATCCATCCATCCATCCATCCATCCATTTTCTGATCCGTTTTATCCTCACAAGGGTCGCGGGGCGTGCTGGAGCCTATCCCAGCCATCTTCGGGCACCCTGAATCGGTTGCCAGACAATCGCAGGGCACACACAGAAGAAGAACCATTTGCACTCACAATCACACCTAGGGACAATTTAGAGTGTTCCATGAACCTGCCAAGCATGTTTTTGGAATATGGGAGGAAACCGAAGTACCTGGAGAAAACCCACACACGCAGGTGGACAACATGCAAACTTCACACAGGAACTCCAGAGCCGTAATCGAACCCTGTACCTCTGCAATGTGAGGTGGACGTGTTAACCTGTCGATCACCATGCCGCCGCATTTAAATCATTTCTTCAAATAAGTTCTTGCAGGGAGATAACAGCATATCTCGACCCAGTCAGTACAAATCACGCAGTGTTTTGTGAAGTTATTTCAAATAACTAATGTAATGTAATAATAAATAAAGTAATATATGTGAACCCAACTTTTTTTTCACTTTTCCTGGTTTGACGACAGAAAAATCTGACTTCTCACTTTCTTTAAATCTAGCATTAGTGCATTCATATGTATGTCCGTGGTCACGGAACCCCTGCGTTCCCTCTGCAACACATGCCATGCACTCGACAGAAATTGTCGCTGCACATAGAATGTTGCACGGATCTCCTGTGATTGGCCCATTTAGTTGTGTGGTGTGATGATTTTCCCCGGTGAGCGGAAATCCTATTGAACAACTTTCATTCAGTGGCCGCACATATGATGTACACCGCCATCGATTTGACAATCTAATTAAACGCATCATCTGGTTATCTAAGTCCACTGGTTGTTCCATGTTGTCATTTTGTTTCTTGATCTGCACGGTAAAAGGTGTGTGACATATAGAGTAGAGGAAAAGGTTTATTTTGCATTGTGCTTTTTCCAGAATATTGTTTGTTATGATGTTCCAACCACAGGGAGCTTCGCATTAACATGGAGCTTGCCAGCTATTTGGTGAAGAATGAATCTCAGAGGAGAAATGGAGCGGGTCCTGGCAATAAAGTAAGAGAAAGGATTGGGACAGATTTGAAATGTTCCTTCTGTATAACGGTTGTTCGAAAACTACAGTTGATTGTTTGCATTCGTACTTCATAAAAGCAAACAAACTGACAACACCTTGATCAAGATGTACTGTCAAATTATAGGCCCATTTCCAAACTGCCTTTCATTTCATTTCAAAAATTCTGGTTAAAATCGTTCTTGGATGAAGATAACATCTTGGAGGTCTTCCAGGCAGGTTCCATGATGATGCAAAGCACAGAGTCAGCCCTGTTAAGTGTTTCTAATGACATCTCGTGGCAAATGGCACTGGAGACTATGTGTGTCTGGTTTTATTTGATTTAAATGCAACATGTGATACAGTGGATCAGTGGTCGTTGCAGGGCCTGCACCACCACAGCAGGTTTGGAGGACGTCCGTAGGGTTTGTGCCGCCAGAGCAGAGTCAAAATGCTACTGCACAAGGTGCGATGCTCAAGTAGGATTAGAAGGCGGCCAGAGCGCGTGCCCCAAATGGCTCTGTAGAGGAGCCGAGACTGGTACCTGGTGCTGTCAACGTGCCGGGGCGACTACCTGGTCCTGCCGAGGCAGCGGGACGGGGATCTCCAGCTGCAAAGCTGCTGGCACGAGGCCTAGCCTTATCAACTTGCCACCATAGAAGTTGGGCAGATCAAGAGACACAAGACGCCAGGAGTACAGCCATGAGGAAGGTGACAGGAAGAAACATTACAAATAGTATGAGGTGAAGAAGTAGAGAGCCAACGAGAGGGTGAAAAAGGCAGAGAGTGAAGTGGCTTGGGAGCAGGTTCAGATTGACACGACTTGTAAAAGGCGAGATTACAGAAGGAACCGGAACCTTGATCTGGGTGCCTATATTGGCCATGCCGCAGAGGTCTCAGAAAAATGGCCAACCAGGCACCCAAGTAAGTGTCTGAAGGGAAAGGTCTGGGTGTACACTGAGGGGCACTTAACAGAGACCCGCCAGCCTTCTCGTTTTGTCCCCCCCCCCCCATGTTGGTTATTGCTGTCTTGTCCATGTTCCTCTAGGTTTCCATTGAAAATGTGCGGCGCATTATGGAGCATAAAAGACAAGAACCGAGACCCCGGATTGTTGAACAGCTGAAACTGTACATCAAACAAGATTGGGAAATAATAGTCCAAAGCTTCAACAATGAGTGTCCTCAGTTCCCAAACGTTGACTGAAACGTTAAAAAAAAAGGTGATGTAACACATTGGCAAACATGACCCCATCCCACTTTTTAGGAACAAGTTACAACCATAAAATTCAAGTTTATGATTATTTGATAAAAACAATCAAGTTCATCAGTTTGAACATTAGTTTTCATGTTTTTCTATTTACTTTCTATTGCATATAATTCTTCTTCTTCTCCTTTCGGCACGTCCCTATTCAGGGGTCGCCACAGCGAGTCAGTAATTTCCATCCGCCCCTGTAAACCGTCCTACCAACTCGCATGGTCGTCTTGGCAAAAGTTTTACGCCGGATGCCATTCCTGACGCAACCCTCCCCATTTCTCCGGGCTTGGGACCGGCACTGGGGAACAGTGCACCCCCAGGGGAGGGCACTGCCCCCCAGCGGCT